TCCGTACGCCTACATCTTTCTTCTTTTCCTTTTTTCTTTCTTTTTTCTTTCTTTTTTCCCCCTTTCCCCCCCCCTCCTTTCACTACCCTCTTTTACAGCTTGGCAGGGCTCTCGTCTGGATTCTTGAGCTCGACAATCAGCTTCCCCGTGTTGACGCCCTTGTAGAGGTCGACCAGCCCCTGCTCGGCCACTTGCAGGCCGCCTTTCAGCAGGTGGATGCTCGTCTTGAGCTTGCCCTCGTCGAGCAGGCGGGCGAGGTCGGCGCGCGCCTCGGGGTACTTGTCCTGGTGGTCAAAGACGATGAAGCCCTGCATGCGGATGCGCATCTGGATGACGCGCGTAATGTTGCGCGGGCCGACGGGCTGCGACGTGTTGTACTGGCTGATGGCGCCGCACATGACGAAGCGCGAGAATTCCTTGGCTTGGCGTAGGGCGAGATCGAGAACTTCGCCGCCGACTGGGTGGTTTTGAAAATGTGTTGTTAGCCATCCATCTTGTAACCTAATATATATCTGACAACTCTTGCCATCGACCCGCATATCGTAGCAATTGTCCAAAGGAAGTGACAAGGAAGGGGACAAGGAAGGGGAAGAAGGAAGGGGTGCACAGCGTACCATTGTCAAAGTAGACGTCAATGTGGTCCTTTGTCGCCTCAAAAAACTTCTTCTTAAACTCTGGATCCTTGTAATTGAGCGCCTGGTCAAAGCCCAAGTCGTCCACCAGCCACCTGCATTTATCATCGCTGCCCGCGATGCCCACGACCCTCGCGCCGCGCGCCTTGGCCACCTGCCCGGCCACGCTGCCCGTGGCGCCCGCCGCGCCCGAGACGACGACGAGCTCGCCGGGTTTCGGGTCGCCAATCTGCGTCATGCCGACCCACGCCGTCATGCCCGTCAGGCCAAACACGGAAATAATGTGCTTGGCGTCGCGGAGCCGCGGAAAGCTGGCCTGCGGCTCGTACCTCCCGGCCTTGAGCACCGCGTACTGCTGCCAACCCGGCAGGCCGCTGACGAGGTCCCCCGGTTTTACAGAGGGGTTCTTGGAGGCGAGGACGCGGCAGGCGCCGCCGGCGCGCATGACGGCGCCGATTTCGACGGGAGGGAGGTAGGAGCGGTCATCTGGGGGGTTTGGGAGGAAGACGTTAGTTATAAAATGTTTTCACGTCCGAAGGAAAAAAAAGGAATGCGCGCACCGTTGAGCCAGCCGCGCATGGCGGGGTCCAGAGACACGTAGAGAACTTCGACGAGGACGTCGCCGTCGGCTAGGTCGGCTTCGGTAGGCGCGGGCGTGACGCGCTGGTGAAAGGTCTGACCGGGGATAAGTTCGTCTTTGGGGCGCTCCGCGAGCACGATCTGGAGGTTGTCGACGGGCATTGTCGCGGCTGTGTCTGGTGTTTTGTCTGGTGAGAGGCGGGGTTGGAGAAGATGAGATGGGATGGGATGGGGGATTGTGGATTGAGGATTTGCGGGAGGAGGAAAAAACAAGAAGAAGAGAAATATTTATAATTTTTTTAATCGTCTGGTGCCCGGCAGCCCAGTGGTGGGAGGGAGGTTATATATATATGACTGCCACATTCGGGGTCGTTGTCCGTTGGCGTGGGCGGAATATAGAGAAAACGACGTACCCCTCCCCCGTCTCGGTCCTCGTTGATTATTATTAGCTAGCGTGGGTTTTGTTGGTGGCGCTATCACCGAGAAATCATGGGGCTGCAAATTGCTGCAAGGCCAGTAAAGGCTCTTTGGGATTTTCTTTTTAGACGCAAAAAGCAGGACCGGGATCGATGATGTAACCATCTCCGGTTGCTTTCACCTACTGTTTAAACCCCGGAGCGCCACCTCGACTTGGTCTTCCTCCTCCGCCCCCAAAGAGAGGGGTGGTGAGGGGGGAGAGGTGGATTTGTCGATATAGTTCCCAACGTCATCTAATTACAAGCCATTCGGGGTGCCGTCACATCTCTTGCCAACCCGCTCCCGCGTAGTACATCTTACTCAGCTACGACCTGCGACTGAAACCCCTTTTTGCATCCTGGGATTCGCCAGCACAGCCCCCTTTTCCAACACTCTGCATGGCCTGTATTGCAAACCGAGGCGTCAAAGCCCTATTCTAAAGGGCAAATTGCCAGCCATCCAGAGCAGCGGAGATGTGGAGGGGTACGTTTTCTGACTGGATTGGCAGCGGAGTTTCCGGTGGCGGACTGAATGCGCAGAGGAGAAGAGGGAAAACGGAAACAAAGCTTAGAAACCACCTCCAAAAACATGGTAAAGCTATGTGTGGCTTGTTGCCCTCCCGGCCGAGTTTCCCAATTGAGCCATTAGCACCGGGGGGGCTGCCGGCCGCGGAGGTACGTGCGGTGTTAGCTCCGGGAGCCAAAAATAAAATCAAGAAAATCAAAAGAACAGCGGCGACTCGATTATTTGTTTAAAAGTCCGGACTTGGGGCCGCAGTCCGTGGATAACTGCCATACTGGTGCCCATGGATCATGTGTTAATATTCCGGAAACCCTTGTAAAAGCCGTCAACCAAGACCTTGACAAGCAAAATCCCCTCTTGCTGATGTGATCAAGGGAACAATGAGTTGCTTAGCATCGATCTGCGCGTTCCCCAGAAGGGTTGTCCTGTCTCATGCCTGCGGAACCCCGCGAGGCCGAGCCAGCTAGGATAAGCCACAAGTTGCATCAGGTTGGACGCCACCAAAAGAGTTAAAACCCAAACCCAGCGACAAAGGCAACATGAATCCACTCAAACCAAGCTGCTTCTGTCTTCATCTTTCTTTTCCATGCTCAATCGACTCCGAAAAAGAGGCGGCGCATAGCCTCGCCCAGCCACAATACAGTCAGTACCCGACTCTCGTTTATTCCGATTGCGCGAAACCCGGTCCTGCCGGGAAAGTCCCTGCCAAAATCTTCTCAACTCCGAAGCTTCTCTCACCTCATGTCAGCCTCGTAGTCACCCCACGCTTCCGAGCGCGGGTCGTGGGCCTAGTCATTGGCCCCATCATGTTATCAATCTACCCTTTTTTTACCCATGTAGCAGAACAAAGGCTACCCCTTCAGGACACAGTCAGAGCCAAGTTCCCAAGTCCACACCGCGAGACGGGGGGGGGGGGGGGGGGGGGAACAATTGAACGATAGGGCCGTACCTGACGGGCAGTCTCTGTCATTGTCATGCAGGTGAGGGTCGGTTGGCGAATCCCGGAGCCACAACAAGCGGACGATTGCTGCCTGTGCCGCGTCACTTCCTGTTGGCCCTGTAAGTTGTCTTCTCTGGGTCCTCTTCCCTGCATTGTGCAATGCCTTGCGGTAGTAGGTGAGAAATTATTCAAGTCTTCGTCTTTTCACGCGCAATCCCGCTTCGTCAGCATTTGGGTTTGGGCGCTCATGGCCAACTGCGCCGCGGAATCGTAGGAGGCAGATTCGAATCGCACGCTTACAGCAACCCAGCAGCATCGTGGAACCCGTACAGTTATAGTATGACGCGGCCCTTAATCGAAGACTTTTTCCTTTCCCCAAATAGGGCCTGTCAATGGAAAACAATCGTCACTAACCTTCCCAACTTTTCCCAGCATCGATACTCAACTACTATTTTCTAATGCTAATGCCACTTATGCAATTAGCTAGGATATTGACAGAGGAGTGGGAGTAGTGGTGCGTTCTCCGACCCTTGTGATAACGGACACATCAATATCTCTCGAGGGGTAATGCAACTGACAAGTCAGGGCTGCATTTCTTTACGGTCAAACAGGGAAAACTCTAATTGGCCTCCGTATCGGATCAATGTTGTGCGTCTCTAGATTGACGAGGCCTTGAATGATGAGCACGTCACGTTCCAGAATGAAATCATCGTCACCTGGTGAACATGTCAGCATGGGGAAAATGGGGCGTATTAGGTAGTTATTCTTCTCGTACATACGCCAAAAGAGTCGAGGTAGTTATACTCTGCCTTGCTGTTATCAATGAAATCCATATAAAACAATGTTTTTTTTTAATTCGCTGGTTCTGATGGACAAGTCATCAAAGGCCGTAGTGGTTTTGCGGCGCTTAGGCAGACAGTCTTCAAAGGCTTCCCGATCGTCGGACGGGATCTAGGGCTTGGCCCCGTGGACAAAATCTCGTATGCAGGCGACGCTCTCGAGGCTGAGAAGTCTCGGGCTGATAGGACTGGGTGGGCTTGCCTGTCGCGAAGTCCAGCTTCGTCATGGTGGTTCTTAAGTCTGTAAGCAGTGCGGAGGGTTTCAGGCTCGGCTTGGTGATGGCATGCAGTGGCCGAGCCGTGGCAAGAACAAGTTCTTTGGGAATGATGGGCGGCAGGGATCCCTGCTCAGTGCGATGATATGAAGACATGGCGGATGGTAGTGGAAGCATGGGAGGCGGTCATGATGGTGGTTGCCGTTTGTCGTTGCAACTTTGGCATATACCGTTTAACTCAGTAAGAGCGAGGCAACGGCGTATTCTTGTAGCCGATTAGACCTGCGCTAAGGGTTGGTTATTCTCACTCAAGATGAACTACCTTACCTAAGTTACCTGCTACATACATAATACCAGCACAACAGCGCTGGCACTGCCGTTGCAGCCGGGGTCCAAGCCCAGCATCGTCAAGCATACACGTGTCGTAAAATTTACCCCAACCTTTCCCCTTCGATAATCACTACAGCCTCACAACATCTTACAGCCATGACCTGGCGCTGCGGAGAACTGCCCGCTGCCACATGGCGGCGTCGCGCTGTACCGTGAGCCGTTTGGTGCGACCCCAGAGGCACAACCAAAATACTGCCCGACCTGGTTGAACCCAAAAAGTATGACCACAGTGTTCCTGTGGGATTCTATGCGCTTCGTCTCGCCGCATCATTGCTTGAGACTTGATGTAACTGTACGCCCCTTGGCTGCATACTCTACAAGAGGCGTGAGGGTGCTGGCATGCCATCATGGTATCACCCTCGTGGCTGTCATGGCCAGACCTGCCCCAAGATCACGACAGCGTCGATCGACTGGGGAGTATAGCATCATGGAGGGTCTGAATCAGCGAGTGTATGATGCAGTTACAGCCAATCAAACCAAAAGTGAGGGCAAGTCAAACAGTCTCGTGGGCATTTCGCCCATCAAGCCCGGCGTGAGCGAGACTGCAAAATTTGGAACGACTCTCGGCTCACTCAAGACAGGGCCGACACCATGTGACAATCATCGACAATGCGTCAACACGCTGCCAAAAAACTCGCACTCTTACCCTCCAAAGAGATGGGCAACAATTACTCTGTGTCTTTGCTCTGGGAGGGAGGTCTCTGTTTTTCGTCCAGCCCCAAACAAGGTATAAGTGAAACGAGGCCCTTCCTCTAAAGCAAAAGATGAAAAAAGCAGCCTATACACAAAAATCAATTCTTTGCCTTTGGAAAACTCAAACATGCCCGACAAAAAGACCACCAACCCCACCAGCACAAGTGGCACTGCCTCGTCCACCGGTGCTGCTGCTGCTGCTGCTGCCACCACCTCGTCCGCCGGTGCGGCCTCGTCTACTGCGACTGCCTCGCCTACCGGTGCGACGACGACGACCGCGACGAGCAGCAACACCGCCGCGCTGGAGAAGATGGTCCTCGAGCGCGACCAGGACCTGATTGATTGCCTGATCAAGGGGGAGCAGTCTCGCGCGGACCGACGAAGAGGTTGAAACCCCTCCAGCCGTTTTTGGTGTACACATGCGTGCACCCAAAGAAAGACTGCCACTTTCGTTGTGCATTGTGCTGATGCGACTCTGCGACTGCAGAGCTCGCTAGCATATAAAAAAAAACAAGGTTCATTCATGGTGCTCAAAAGTTCCTTTGCCCTTGATTGCTTTTGAGCGAGAGACAAAGTTTGAAGTTGCCGCGTTCGGGAACCGCGAGATACAACGCCTTTGCAAATATCACTGTCAAGGAAACGAAAAAGGAAAAATCAGAATATCTCGTGGGATCTCTCATATATAGGCCTTGCTTATGATGTGTTGCGTCGTTGTACTTGTACACAGGTCAGCCGAGGCGCCTTATGGATATCGTGACTTAGTTACTTGAAGCCATACCTGTCAAATATACCACATCTCCACGTGGTAGTCGCGATACTTTACTACTAGTCCATGAATAAGACATTATAAAGGTTCCTCACGAATATATACGGTGTGTAGGTTGCACGTACATTGCAAGCTGCAACCCCGTACTGGCCTGGTAGATTGGGCGAGAACTTGCATGACCAGGACTGCCTCGTCAAGACACACGCACCCCCTTCTTCGTCGTAGCGAGTCACGTTACAATACTACAATTTTATAGACCAAAACAGAAGAAAACTAAGGCGTCCCTTTGCTCGGTGGCGGTCTTCCTCCCATTCTCCGACACCGTCTAGTCAGCGAATAAACCAAACTTGCTCTTGATCATCTCGACTCGTCTAATCAAATCAAGACTTATAGGTCAATTGCCAAGCACCAAAAACCCCTTTACTGACACGACCCTTTCACGTGATACCAACCTCGTCCTGATAACGTCTCTCTACAAATGTACTCTGTTATCTCCCTCCCCCCTCGGAGATCCATCCGTACACACCCCCCCGCCCGGATGTCCCCGCGAAGCAACCAGATAAGGTCCCGAAGAATGCAGGAGGAGGAGGAGGGGGGGTGTGTCTGGTGTACCTGGCATGGCAATGAAACGCAATGCATGCTAGATATATGTAGAGAGACTAGATCGATCTACTGATAAGCTCAGGATGATCAAAACAAAAAAAAAACGTGGTCGGCGGATGATCGACAGCGGCTCTTTTCCCTCGGAGATTGCGGGTTAGGCTCCAGGAACGGGACGAAGCGGGCGAGAGAAAAGACACACACAATTCCGATTGACGATTGAGCTTGAGTACAGTACGTGCAGTTGTTTGAATCGTGGTAATAATTGCGTAGGAGACACTACAGTTAAAATGCTGCTTGTTCTTGGTGACCCGAGTTGATCATTGAACAAAGGGTCAATAATTTGATGTTGAAAAAGCAGCATATAGAGATGGGAAAGAGTAGAAAAGGGCGAAGAAATAGAAAAAAAAAAAAAAACAATGGAAGATGAAAATGAGCAATGAGGTACACTGGCAGATTAAAACACAGACAAGAGGAATCAGAGTCTGAGAGAACAATGACTAGTTGATATAATAAGGGGTCACCTTATTTTGTATTCATGCCGTAATGCCATCTATAATACTTTGCTCGCCGCGACGTAATCGCGCGAGCACAAATCCTTAATAACCAAGTTTATAAAAACGCCAATCATCATCAAGATTAGATAATCTTGCAGAGCCCACGCCAAGGAAATCAAAAAGTAGAATCAATTATGAAGTGTTGTTGACAAAAGGGGGAAAAAACAGGTTACTAAAGCAGCGACTATATCAATGATAATAGTCATTCTGCCCTTGTTTTTGCTTCTCATGCACCACATCTCTGGCCGCCTCTTGCTTATAGCTTGCCAAAGATGGAGGTCATGAGAATCTTGGTGACACGGTAAGGATCGGCGTTGGAGGCGGGACGACGATCCTCAAAGTAGCCAAAGCCCTTGGCGGCCGTTTCCCTGGGGATACGAATCGAGCAGCCGCGGTTGGCGACGCCATAGGTAAATTGCTCAATGGAGCCCGTTTCGTATCCGCCGGTAAGACGCTGCTCGTTGTCCTCACCGTACTCCTTGATGCACTCCTCGTGGTGGGGCTCGAGGTTCTTGAGAGCAGCCTCGATGTGGGCCATGCCGCCCTCGACACGCATCTCCTTGGTGGAAAAGTTGGTGTGCATGCCGGCGCCGTTCCAGGCGCCCTTCATGGGTTTGGGGTGAAGGGAGACCTTGACGCCAAAGTCCTCGGCGACGCGAGCGAGAAGGAAGCGGGAGAGCCAGAGCTGGTCACCCATGGAGATACCCTCACAGGGACCGACCTGGAACTCCCACTGGGCGGGCATGACCTCGGCGTTGGTGCCGGAAATTTGGATGCCGGCGTAGAGGCAGGCCTTGTAGTGAGCCTCGACAATGTCGCGCATGACGACCTTGGAGGCGCCGACACCGCAGTAATAAGGACCCTGGGGCGCGGGGAAACCGCCGACGGGCCAGCCGAATGGGCGGTCGTCGAGGTCGAGGAAGGTGTACTCCTGCTCGAGACCAAACCAGGGCTCATGCTCGGCGTAGGCCTCCATGACCTTGGCGCAGTCGTGGCGAAAGTTGAACTTGTTGGGGGTGCCATCGGGGTTCCAGCATTCCGACAGAACAATGATGTTGGGGCTTCCGCGAAGGGGATCCGGATAGACGGCGCAAGGGCGCAGATAGACATCCGAGTTCTCGCCCGGAGCCTGGTTGGTAGAAGAACCGTCAAAGTTCCAGACCGGGAGAGTTTCGGGCTTGTAGCCACCCTCAACCTCTTTCAAAGTCTATACATGACGGCATTGGTTAGCGGGTCTGACTTGAAGAAAATTGGCGACATGATGTTGTGAAACGAGTAAAGGCAAAGATATGGCGTAGGGATGACGGGCTCCGTTGGGCCGGTGCACAAAGAGGCTGCCAAAGCAAGGCATGGGAATTGGCAGCGGGTCGGTAGCGATGACGCCGATGAGTATGGGCTAACGAATGGGCAACATCCTGGGGGCGGGGCTGCAAAGCGGGCTTTGCCACGCGAGTGATTGTGTTTTGCAGGCCTTTTTTTTCTGGGCGGCGAATAAAGGCCTCTAGCCACATCCGCCAAGGAGCCTTTGCAGCAGCCTCAGCCACAACCAGAATAGAACCCACCCCAGCCTCAACCTTAGCACATCAACGCCACCACGGGACAAATCGGGCGGTGTCAGGTTGACAGGCACGACGGCGACAAACAAACAAACAAAAAAAAAAAAAGGGCATTGATATTGATGAAGAATTGCAACGTACTCGGGACTTGGAACGGGTCTCGCCGGTCGAGTCGATCCAGACGTATTCGGCCATGATCTGGCCCTTTTGATCGAGCTTCAGATACTTGTTGAGCTGGGATGAATTAATATTGATTGCGCCGTGTGAATTCGATCGTATCGGATGAGGGTACGCACAGTCTCCGTTTTGGAGGTGAAGGCATATCGGTTCGACTAATTGCATGTCAGCACATTGTTCGGCAGCAAAATGGAGAGCGATTCGGCGCATGGCCGGTTGTTGACAGGGAGACGTACCATGTTGGCGGATTGTGTGTGTGTGTTTGTTTTAGGTAAACAGGAAAAAAGAAAAGAAAAGAAAAAATAATTCAATAGGTTAAAGGTATCTACCACGAGGGGTATTAGGAGAAAACGGCGAGGACGATGATATCAGGGCAAGAGTTAAAAAGACCTGGGGAAAGGTGCGCGGGTGGAGGGTTTTATTTATGGACAGGACGAAGAGGATTTGAGTGCGCGGCGATCGAAAAACCAAGGATGCAGCGCCAGCCCACCAAAGATAAGGCACTGTGCATGTGCAGCGTGTGGCTGTTCGCGGCGGCGGCGTCGCCTGGGCCCAAGTGGGTAACGACAAAAAGTTGTACGTATGAGTTGAATGATGTGTAGTCTTGTTACTCGAAGCGTACCAATTTCGTATTCTTGTTATCCTCCTTTTCATCTTTGCTTGGCCTTTATTTTCTTCATATTTTCCCTCATTTTCTTCCATTTTTTTTTTCATGCCTCTCAACATTCTCTGTTGCTACGCCCGCGAGGCCCTGGGGAGGACAATGGGGGACGTGTGGAGGGGTGGGCTTGTGGGCTCTGTAGTGGGGCGCAGGGGAGTGTGCGACGAAGCCTGAATCAATGTTCATGTGCTTGCCCATTACAGGGCGTTGCAGTGACTGCTGTCTAGTCGGCACAAGACATTTCAGCGCCGTCAAAGCTTGCAACCCACTGCCGTAAAAAAGTGCTGTCGTGCTTGCAGCTGGTCATTCGTTTCAAGGCCGAGGTACCGGCTTTAATACAGACGGCGAGGTACCTGTACTGTTGGCTTGGCTGCAGCTTGCCGTCCCCCAAATCCCCCGGCGACAACGCCACCCTTCCACCCCTCCCCCCCCAAAGCGAATGCTTGGCCGCCGGGCTCGCCGCGCTAGAGAACCAGCTGCCCCGAAAACCACCAGCGCCAGGCCTTTTCGTTATCGGCGAGCCCCTCCAGAAACAAGTTTGCAGGGCGGCCTACAGCGCTAAATTTATTCGCAGGCAGGCATGCAGAGCAGCGCTCCCCCCAGGCACCACCGCGGGGTACCAGGCGAGGTACCGTCAGCGGGTACCGTCCTGCGCGGACGCCGGCCCATCGGTACCCAGGTACAAAAGGACCGGCCGTACAGAAGACGAACCTATATTACGGAGTAATAGTGAATATTCCTCTACCTACTAGCAATTATCGTCGAAATACCCGCCTATTCGTAAATAATGCGTCGAGCCAATATGGCTGAAACTGTCCGTACTCGACAATGTCTACAAGTAGGGGTGCAGAAGCCTGGGACATGCGATGCGTCAAACACAATCATTTTAATCGATTGAAAAATGACAAAATAAAAAGAATAAAAGAACTGTTAAGAGCAAAAGCTGCGACCTTTCTCGTACGCATAATATGACGCATGCAGCATCAGCTTGCGTCCTGATATCCCGTCTCTGTACGGATAGACGTCACGGTACGAGGCCAGCCTCGTGAAACATGGCGGGCTGGCTGTGCTTGGGATATTTTTGGATTTGTACTGGTACGTCGCAGCAGAAATTCTAGCCTGCCTGTACCTGTACCCAAGATGACAGCCCAACCGCCACACTGTGTGCTTTTACAGCGCATTTATCACCTATTATTAGGACGACATGCCCGATGCCCTCTCACGCGAGCCGAACAGGCTGGAGAGTTGCCCCAGCCCCCCTTGTAATACACCGTGTTGCAGGGTCTTTTGTGCATCTAGCGCGGTAGGTAGTTTCGAGTCTGGTTCACAGTAACTCTTTTCGTTTTTCCTTCTTTCTCTTTTTTATATGAAAAAAAAAAAAGATGGGCATTTGGCTGTTTGACACATCTCGAGCGGGTGCTCCGAACCCGGCTACCAGTGAGCAACTCATCAACTATAATCATCTGGTTAATAAAGAACAAGAAAGGGTTCCGCCGGATAGTTGCGGAGCCTTCACGCACTTTTGCGGCCTTGAGCCGGCCGGCCGGCCGTCTTCTAATAAGAACGGAAAAAACCCCCCCATGCCAAGGAAGGGCAGCAGCCCAATCAAAAAAAAAAAAAAAAAAAAGGAAACAAAAAGCCCACTGGAATGACAAATGTATAAAGCACAAAAAGAAGAATCCGGCTGGCTGCAGAAGAGGGTTGCTATGCGTGCCATGCACTGACATGGATTAGATTTCGATCTTTTCGGGATACTAGCACGTCGCGATGAAGGTGCTAGGTCTTGGGCCGAGCACATCGGACAAAGGGACCCCCAAAGGCCAAGAAACAAAACCGGCGTACATGGTCAAAACTAGACCTACAGGCGGTTACAAGTACTGCATGCGTGCGCTCCATGACGAAAATGCCGTTGCAAATGCCCAAAAAAACTGAATCTGCATCGCCGTGCCTTGCTTGTACCGACGACAAGCCAAGTGGGGGCGCGACCTTCCATCGCCAAGTCACACAAGTGACCACAAGCTTTGTAAGTCGGTCCCTGAAACGATGCACCTCGCCAACAAACGCTCGAACATTGGAACATTTGGCAGTTTTGCATAACCCTCCTTGACATACATGCTTTCGCTTCGCTTCCGTTCTGGTTTTTTTTTTTCTCGGGAACCATGACACCCGATGCGCTGCAACGTGTACAAACCGCAGCAAACCAGCCAAGAAAGCAAAAAGCTGGCAACTTTTTTTTGTGTCATTGAAAAACCCCCCAACAAGATGCTGACCGCCAAGTTGTTTCGATTTCAGCGGTAGCCAGCAAACGCCCTTTTTTTTTTTTTGCCCCCGTGTAGCACAAGCCCGTGGCTGCGCGGCAAGACCCAGCTCGGTCCTCTTTGTTTCCCGCACCCCCTTCTGTGTAGAATTGTTCGGGGATCTTTTCTGTGTTTTCATTTAATCAAGTCTTTTTCAATAGAGGCGGTATTGTAATGTAGCCTAACGCCGTTGATCCAGAGAGCATGAGCAATGGCCGGGTTATCGGCGTGTAGCTTGCCATCCGATGCATATATCAGTGTTGTTGACTGCCAGTCCAAAAGCCACCAGGTCAGATCTACAAGAATCTTCTGAAATCTTTGATACAGATCCCAACTTTTTCAACATCTTTAATTACCGTGATGTGGTATCAAGATAATTGACCAGCTTCATGTTGTTGGCGACCATGAAACTCGCTCACGATGCAAGCGTCTAGCACATGCCAAAACGAAGCCCGTATTAGCCCGAAGCTCTCCTATTAAGCATCAAAAGCTTATATGTAGTACAGTTCCCGAGTCTGGGGGTGATGAAACCGCAGAATGCGGAGCGCATGATTTGATCCCTCATCCATTCTCCAACCCAACTCCAGTCAGCCTAGCCTCTCTCTTTTTTTTTCCTTTTTTTTTTTTTTGCCTTGCTCAAATCATTTTCTTTTATTGATATGTTTGCTCAAGCCAATGTACGGATACCTTCTCCATGTACCTTGTTCCTGGGGCGTCCCCCAAAAACCCCTTGGCCAATCATGTGGGTTCTACGCGACCAACCGTTATCGCGACGCTCCGATTGGCTTGTCAGCCTCACGTCTGTGTTTGGGGGATTTGCCGTGAAGCCAAAATGCCTCGGAACCGGCCCTCTTTTTAAGTTGAGAAATTCACTAGTAGCATATTGAAGGTTTTCGATCTATTCCGAGGTAATCGGTGGGTTTTGGTCCTGCAGTTGCTGCCTTGTTTGCTGCAAAAAAGGCCGAGTTGTACAAAAAATGTAAGTTGGAGCGGCCGGTGAGGCACATCATCATCAACCACGACGCTAAATTGCCTCAACAATGTCTCGTTAATCTACCAGCTTGACCAGATAATGAATCGCGGCTGAATAAAAACACCAAAAGCATCAGCAACGACGACGGGCGGCCGAAGCCACATGCTGCATCGGCATTTCCAACCGGTCCATCATCATCCATCCATTCCCCCAGTTTTTCGCGCTACCTTATCTTCTTCAACACACGCCCCTCCCCCTCCCCGCCCTTTTCTTTTCGTCCCATTCATCTCACTTGTCCGTAGTTTTTATGTCGCCAGCCTGTCCTGACTTCAGAGTTTCTTGCTCTTTCCCTTTTTCGTGTTACGCTTCTCTCCGTAATTATCCTGCCGCTCATTTGTCCACGACAATCCGCCGGCCCTATATCGGCCGCCCCGGGATATTTTATTCTCTCTCCCCCCCTCCCTTCTTCAACCTCGCTTATCCCCGCGCCGCCCAACAACTCTAACCAACTGTCTGTTGCACGTCCCCACGCTTCTATATAACCCCCGCCTCCGATTTCCACGATCCACATAACCAAAGAGTCAAGACCTTGTCGCTTGGGTGACTGGCTGGGTCCTCCGTAAACGGAGCTTTCACGCTCACTCAACTCCTTTTCCACAAACAAGGGCAAAGGCCTCGTGCTCCTCGGAGTGAATAGCAAGCAATCCAATAACACCAAGGGTATTCGTTATCTCTTCTCCAGAAACAGGCCACACACCACCCCCTCCTCCCCACACACTTTGCAGTGCTCTCGGCTATCCTGTCATAATAGCTTGGTGCCTGGCTTTAAGTGGTCCTCTTGCCCCAGACCGACGCTGCGAGGAGAGCTGGCAAGCGTTTGCGGGACGACTACTTTGGTATAGCCGGGGCAACATGTGATGTGCGCAATTGGGCCGACCGACGTAGCCTTTTCATACGTCGTCAATTGCACTGCGCCTTCTTATTACGTCGTCAATTTTTATTTTTGCTCATATGTAACTGCTGATCATTGTCGTGAGGGTAACAACCCGACCGTACCCCTGCGCACGAGATGCAATATTCGACGTCACCAGCGTCACAGATATTGGCAGCTGCCGTCACGGATATGGGCCAGCATACGGATACTGCATCGTGCATCACTACTTACAGCTCCCTTCCCCTACAATTCCTCAGGGCTTAATCAAATCCTCCACCCGGATGCCCCAGTGCCAGCTCGCCAAATACATGGCACCGACGCTGATCGTCACAGCCATCAAAAAGTTGACGTCATTGTTGTCCAGGAGATCCAGCCCGCTCTCCACCACCCGCGACGGAAAACCCTTGGTCGGCGACAAAGGCACCGTCTCCTTGTCATCCGTATGCGTTTTTCTGTCACCCGCCGTCGTAGCATGCACCATGGTGCGCGTGCCCCCTTCGCCTTCCACAATCTTGCCCGACCGGACATCTTTCACGGAGCGCTGCAGCAGCGCGCCGAGCACGCTGTCCAGCACCGTGCCCGCGAAGCCGCAGGCGACCAGGAACCCCAGGAATGTGCGGCGCTCCCCGAGCGTCCATGGCGCGCCGCCGCCGAGCGTTGCCGCCGTCGCCTCGGTGCACGCCGGCAGGAACACAAAGCCCACCGTCACCATGAGCACCGCGCCAAGCAGGCCCGCGCCGAGGCCCAGCAGCGTCACGCCGCCGTTGGTGCCTGGCGGCACCCGACGCAGGCCCAGCGACGTGATGAGCCGCGGCTGCGCCGACGACAAAATCCCCAGCTCCGAGCTGAACGTGTCGGCAGCCACGGCCGCGTAGTTGGCGATGATGCCCACGACGAGCAGGTCGCCCCCGTACGAGTAGCACATGGAGCCGGAAGGGTTCGCAGCGGAGGGGTCGGCGTAGGCGGCGGCGCGTTGACGGAGCTGACGCGCGTGTAGAATCGAAAAGATGGATGCGACGAGCGAGTTGGCAAAGACTGCTGCTTGTTAGCGCCTGTATCCGTACCCATAGCCATTTCCCTCCCTTTGGATAAGTGAAAAAGTGAAGCGTTGTACCTTGAACATGTGTTCTGGGACCTTCGGCCCCAGATGCACCAGCTGCACTGAGCGTAAGCTTCGCCTTGATATCCTTTTTGATCTGCGACGGCATTAGCTCGCAATATCCGAACCACTACGGCCAGCTCACAGCATACCTTTGTAACGCGCGTTCCCGCCAGGAAAAAGGCAACCAAAAGTGCAAAGGGCATATTCCAGGGATGGTATGCGTGCGCGGCCGCCGTCGCAGTCGCGGCCACGAGACCCATTGGCGTTAGCGACCGCCTCGCCGCCGCGAAGACGATGAGCGCCAGCGTCGCTGGGATGGCAATAACGGGCTTCATTTTGTCGGATTTATTATATACTAGCTTCACATGGAGCTGAAAGCTAAGCGCTTCGGTCAAAAGTAGCGTAATGAAGCTGTTGAGAGGCGGGTTTTGTGCTGTTTGGGCTGAGATGAAAATTGGTGGGGGTAGGCACAAAAAGAACAGCTTGGATTTGGTACCTACACCTGCCTGCCAAGCTGCCTACCTAACTAAGGTAGTTGCGCCGCCGCCCTCAGCTGATGTGCAACGGCGCCTCCACTCTTCAACGTCAGGTGTACATTACTCTTTCACACAGAGATGCATACAACATGTCATTACGTATCATTCAATCCTCATAACCGTCTACTACAGCTGCAAACTCGAAGAAAAAAAAAAAGAAAAAGCAAAAAAACGGCCGCGGCATGCCGCACAGGACGGCTTACGCGGCTGGCGCATGCAACCCATGGAGCCCCATGGCAATCGCAAAATCCGCCTCGGCCCTGCCCGTCTCCGTCATCGTCCTCGCGTCCAGACACAGCAGATACGACCTTTTCCCCTCGCCGTCCAGCACCACGCTCAGCAGCACGCCGTCGTCCTCGTCCACCGCGCCCGGCCGCGCCACAAAGATGCCCTCGCCCGGCGTGTGGCCCTTTAGTCCGCTCCAGATGAGCGCGTCGCGCGTCACCAGGTCCGTCTTGGCCAGACACTCGCCAATCGCCGTGCTGAGGCCGCGGCTCGGCACGCTGTACACGTAGCGGTACGGCTTGCACGCGAACGCCGGGTTAATGGTTGGCAATTCGCCAATGTGCGGCGCCGGGATCGAGAGCACCTCGGGCGCCGTGGCAGCAGCAGCAGCGGCGGCGGCGGATATCTGCGGCTCACTGTCCGCTGGGAGGGCGAAGCGCCGACGAACAAACCGCGGCCTCATCGCCTCGGCAGTCGCCCGGTCTCTCCAGAACGCGTCGGCGGCACCGTTGCGCCGCAGAATCACGTCGTAGTACATGGCGTACAGCGGCGCCGTCGTCTCATAGTGAATGTAGTCGAGGTTGAGGTACGTCCGTGTCGCGCCCTGCTCTTCCTTGTCCTTAACCGTCTCCTCAAACGCATTGATCGAGTGGAAGAAGAAGCCTGCGGGCGTAGCGAACCGCGCCACCACGCCGCGGCGGCGGCCGCGTCGCCGGTCGACGACAACCCACTGGCACGGCGGCGTCGCCGCTGCCCTGTGAAACGGCTTGATCGCGTCGAGCACGTTGCCCTCCCAGAAGATCTTGGCGCCGAACCACGCAAAGTGCGACGACGGCACGCACAGCACCACGTGGTTCTCCGTCAGGAAGAAGCTGTGAATGTACGCCGCGCAGATGTCCCTCGCCGCCACGGTCGCCAGGATGTCGGTCGTGCCCGACGCGGCGTTGACGCGGAAGAAGCGGTACTTTGGGACGCGGCCAAACTCGAGGTTCACGTTGAACAAGTCGCCCGTCGCCTCGTCGCGCTGTGCGTGCGATATGGACAGCGCCCCCCTGAGGTCTGGGTGGAAGCGCTCCGCTTGCGTGCCGTTGTCGACCGCCTCGAGCGTGTCCTCGTCGAGGACCTGAAGGACCGACTTGTCCGTCGATATGGCAATGTTACCCGTCGTGACGACGGAATGGCCCGCCGCCGGCGTCGGCACCTTGTCCTTGTCCAGGCCGGGCACGTTGCGTAGCACCGCGACGTTGTTATTAACCTCCTTCTCAAAGCGGCTCGCCACCTTGGCAAATAGCCCGACGCACGGGTCGCTGCGCTGCGCAAAGGTGATGCCCGCGCGCCAACCTTTCTTTCTAATCTTGTCAATGTACTCCTGCCCCTGCCGACGCGACGAGTACGTCACCGTTGCCGTGGCGCCGTCGCCGTCGGGATCCGCCGCCGCAATGTCGAACCGGTGCGTGTGCGCGAAGCCGTCGAACCAGTGCGATACGTGATGAGTGCCGCGCTCCGCCGTCTCAATTTCACCCATGCCGGGTCCGGTGCGGTACAGCGCGCCCGCAGCATACGAGGGGATCGTCCCGTGGACCCGCAGCTTCACCGGCCCGTGGTGCTCGGTCAGCCCGACAAACTAGATAATCCAAACCCGTCCCCCGCGTCAACATCCACACCGGGGCTCGTCAAATATCGTAGAGAGAAATCACTTACTCCAGCTTCGTTGGGCCAGTCATTATACTTTTTATCGAGGATATTCTGTAGAATCTGCCGCCCATCTGCCTCTTCCTCGGCCGTTGTGCGCCGTTGTGTTCCAGAACCGCAGAGGGACATGCTTCTCGATGTGTTTGTGTGCGTTTGTTCTCTTGTTCCTCCGAAGGGGGGAACTGTTTGTTTCCAGCTGCCAAGTGTATCCAGTATTACTTTCTTCTCATATATATGAGAGAGAGAGAGAGAGCAGTACGCAGCACTTCTTCTTATATGAACCTTTTATGACGTCTCTGGTGCGCCCGCACCCTTGGCCCGAGCAAACCGCCCACCTCCCGGGCCGGTCAAAGGCACACGCAAGCCTTGTTGGTGTCCCAGCAAAGCAATCAACTAGTTGTTATTTTTGTTTGAGCCGCAAAGCTTTCGCTTCTTTATTAAATAGTGGCAGCCTTGCGTCAGAACAAGTTACCCCACAACACGCGAATGTTAGCATTCCCCCGAGTTCTGCGCTAGGGCAAGCAAGCAAGCAAGCAAGCAAGCAAGTTAGTTAGCTTGTAAATATTGTTCAGCTATTAAGAAGCTCGATGCATAAAGCAGCATCGATCGACGGCGTGTTGCATCTCACATCATGGCTATCCGAGCATGAATGTGGCCTTTGTCTGGCCAAAAGTATCAAGAACCTAGTGTGATTGAAATCAGGCTCGGCTGAGAAACAACAAGGCTGAAAACCACACTCGGTAACTAGTTAGTGTATGCAAGCTACATTGCGTTACGTAGTTACGGCAAGGCTTTTGTTTGCCAACGACTGAGAAATATTGAGGGCGGCACTTTGTAGACTTGGACAAGACTGCAGACCACGTTCAGGTAGAGTCATTCTTTTATATTCATGCATACGTATGTCCCTGCCATCCAATCTACCCAAGCCTCAGCTGCGCTACCCACGACGCATGTACACTAGAAAAACAATGTATCACCGCTCCGCCAAACACGTGTAACAAGACGAAATGCTCTAGTATATACAACATGAATCTCCAAATCACGGCAACAGTCTCTATTGTTCGGCCCCTGCAATCAGAGTTTCCAACTCCATTGGACTCAGCGTACTTCGCCGCCTTGATGTCCTCTTGCTAGATATGCGAATATCTCGCTTGCGCTTCTGAACCTTGAGATGGCCATCGTCTTGCTCACGCACCGGACGCTCCGGATCAGTCTTGGCTGGGTCGACATTTTCCACGTTCTCAGTTCGCGTTTCAGAGGCAGCTGCGTGATCGTGTGTTTGAGTCTCAGCCCCAGAGCTTGGGCCATCTTCGTGTGCTACACCATGCGAGTCTTTGAGACGGTCAAAGGGTTTCAGAGTGATAGGTCTGCTTCTCGCGGCTAGCACTTTTGCACGTACGCGATGTGCATCGGCCTCAGAGGCGGCAAGCTTGGCAGCAATATTAGACATGGTCAGCGGGCTCTGTTGTGAGATCGGCTCTGCTGGCCTGGGGAAAGGCTTGCGTGGAGTTAGACCACTGATCGAGCGTTGACTTGCTGGAGCCGTTGCCTTTCGCAGCTTTGTCTCTGACTGCGCGTCTGACTTCGAATCTTGCTTTGGTTGTGTCGTCTTCTCTGATTTCGTTGCCAGTTGCTCCTCGACAGGTCCCTCTAACTTGGGCTCCATAGCCTGCTTTGGCGGATATAGGAGCGCTTCCTCAAGCGAAGTGACTCTTGTCGGTAGTCGTCTATTGAATGTTGCCTCGGGAACTTTGCTGGCAACTCGCGTCGGCCGGCGGCCAGGTTGCTCAAAGCCTCGCTTCTGCACGTGGAGCGCACCAGATGCTGATCGATGTCTTTGAGTGGGTTCTGGAAGTGAGCTGCTGGTTGAAGTCTCCGGTTGCTTTTTCCTTGATAAGGCGATGGGCTGTGCGTGCTGGGATCCTCGATTGCCTGCTGAGGAAGACTTTCGTAGAGGGCTCAACTGCGGCGGCTCTGGTAGTGGAGTTGATTCTCGAGAAGTGTCGTTTATAGCAGGTGCTTCAGCTTCTATTTGCTGCGCTGGTATCTCGGAGGACTTTTCCGTCATCTCCTCTGGCGTTTTCTCGGGCTCTTCCTGTGAATATTCCGAATCTTGTCGCGCTTCGTCATGCGGAGCCTCCTTCTCTAGCAATTCGTCGTTGGCCATTTCCCCGCGATGCTCGTTCTCCTCCCCGTAATAAGCTGCGTTTTCGTCATCAAGATGCTCAGACTCCTCCCCGCTATGATCGTAGATATCTTCCTCGCCATATTCCTCCTTCTCTTCTTTCTCCAGAGCTTCATCGAGTAGTGCTAGAGTAGAGTCGCCGATGCCACTTGTCGTGCCTGTCAATCTGACAGACCCAAGACGAAATCCATGTTTGAGCTCGTCCTCGCGAATGGGACTACCACCTGCAGCCATTCTCTTTCTCCATGCGTCAATAAGAAGCATGGCATCCTTCCATCTGGTCTCCATCTTCACCCATCCCTCCTTCAGACGGTTGATCTCCTCTTCGCGGGCGACAACTTCCTCAATTGAAACAAATGACGGGTTGTTCAAAATGTTGCGCATATGCTCCATGATGGACTCAAGTTCCATAGACATATCCTCCAGGTTCTGCTGCTGGTTTCTCTGCGTATTTCCTTTGCCTTCTTCCCATCCGCTCATCTCTCGCAGCTGATCCATAGCCTTGGACATGAGTGCCAGTACAGCCTCATTTTCCTCGCTCAGATTCTGCGAAAGCTTGGCCAGTGACACAGTAGACTCGCCGCGTAAACTATACTCGTCCGTCATCATACCACCAGTCTTTGTAGGCGATGGGGGTTCCTCGTCGACATTGCCCGTAATCGTAATTGTCGTAATCGCAGGGTTTGTGCGCGCACCGCGGGCTCGTCCCGCTTCGCCGAGCTGTTTCTTCAGCGTATCGATCTGTCTGTCTCGGCGGCGCACCTCAGTCGCGCACGATGTTCGGGTCTGCGCAACCAAGGCTTTCGTTCGTGCCAGCTGCTCTTTGAGCCCCCGCATCGTCGATTCCGCAGATTTGAGCTGTGTCTTGGCGGCATTTTCGGCCGACGTGGCAATCTCGAGTTTACGCTGCGCTTCAGCGGCTTTCTCTTCGAGCTTGGAGATATCGTTCAGATGTTTTATATTCTCGGCGCGCAGCGAGCGCATCGTCGCAGACAGTGACTCGCGGTGATCGGCATCTCGCTGGGGCCTCCATGATTAGAAAAGGATACAGAAAATTCTGCAGATGCGTAAAGAAATACTTACGTCGCGACGTAAGATCAAGTCGTTGACGACACTGATGATTCGGCCGGCAGTTACCGAAGCGTCTTCGCACTTTCCGTGGCCGGCAAAGTCAATTGTCTGACCATCCCGCAGAAGTCCTCGCGACAGGAGCTGGTTGTTGATGTACGCCGAAGCGGTCCGCAGATTCTCTGTATCGACCATGATGACGACTCACGAGAGATTTTCTGCCAGAGTATGCCTACAGCAGTGCTCTCATGTATCACGAATCATGTATTTGTCGGTAGGTATGTAAATGCCAGCGCCACTGGTCGTACTATTTGGTTGCTGTGTGGGGGAAGTAAACAATGATCCGCCCCACATTACCGATACAGCGTTATCTCCAGATAGATATGTAGGGCCAGCCATGCAAAACTATGCGATAGCTATAAGTCAAGGTATAACTTGTTGCTTGATTTTTTATTTACAATATTTTTGTATATACAGTCCGTGTCGCCGAAATCGCACAACTGCGGAGAAAGCTCGCTTTACCAAAGGTCGTCCTTGCGGTATCCAAGCGCTAGAAAAAGCGTCCCAATCAAAGAGATAGCCTGTATCACTCCTAGACATGCGCTACCTGTTATTTGTGAATAGTCAGTTAATGTCTCTTGCCATGCTTTGCAGAATAACGTGGAGAAAATGGACCGGTTCAGACATATTTGAGAAGATTTCGGTAACGCGGTTGTCTTCATCATGCGGCAAACGGTAGCTAGCCTTTTGCACTCTGATGGCCCCGCGGCGTCATCCTGGTCCAGAGAATATAAAAGAGGTTGTGACTTACTTGACATCTGGGTATGCCTCGTTTCATCATGATTCGGGCTTGAACTTGCCACGCTTCTCCCTCATGGCATTGACCTTTTCCCTGTCGTGTTGGAATCTCCTCATCAAAGCAGCCTGCTCCTCCTTGCGGCGCGCGCGCAGTTGGAAGCGGTAAAAGTCTTTCATTTCGGACTTCTTCTTGGTGTCCTTCTCCACCATCCGACGCTTGGCCTCTTCGGCCTCATACTTGCTGGCGGGCGCTGTGCGACCGCCACGCGTAACTGTCACAAAGCCATCCTCATCAGGTTCATTGCGCAGTCTCTTGGCTAATTCGGCAGCTTCCTTCTCCTTGCGGTTGAAGGCGTTGAAGAAGGCGTGCGCCGACCTTCGAGCTTCCGCCTTGTCTACCCGCGAGTCTCGCAAGTGCGCCGATATCCAAGGCACGCCAAGTGGCGGTACACCGCTTAACGAACCGTCCTCCCACATTGGATATTTCTTGGTCTTGTTGGCTTTTGCGATGGCCTTGAGGACCAGCTGCACGCTCTTGTCGTCAGCAAGGAGCACGACAGCAGTGCTGCTACTGCGCAACACCCTTCTTGTCCAAATCTCGGGAAGTTGTATAGCCTGTCTCTCCTTTTCTTGCTCTTCCATCTCTATCTCGTCCCGTTTGCGCTTCTTCGCAATAGTATTGATCTTGACGGCCTGAGCAGGATTGAATGAATATGTAGCACCGCGCTCGTCTTCGAAGTCGATGCTCTCAAAGCGACCTGCGCCAACAAGTTGCGTGAAAACGGCACGAAAATGCTGCTCTGTACTATCGGCCGGGATGTTTTTGAGAAAGAGACTGCGAGAGTCGTTTGCTGTGGCGATTTTGGGCGCATTTCGTCGGATGCGGACTTCGTGCACGGCGGCTTCGGGAAACGATGGGCAGGGAGGCATTTGAATGGCCAACACCGCAAATTGTTCATTGTTTGATTTTGGCAGCGCCATCTTGACGCCTGTGAAGGATCGGCAATGCTTAGGATTACGATTGGTGACGTGACGAAGCGTAGGCCGACAAGTTCCTACGAGAGGCAGAAAAAAAGCATCGACATTTTTTATCGATAAGCGCCAGCCAACAAAACCCACCCACTTACACCCAGATACATGGCTCTCAAAGCGTTGAAATTTAAAAGTATCAGAAATATGGTCATTTGAAATGTTGATTCGGTAGTAACAGTCAGATCACATCACGTATCTATTTCCAGCACGAAATTCAGTCGCCGCTCCGACGCAACGGCCGTCTTGCGCGTGGGGTATCATCACAAGTACAAGGTTGCGCCGCTAAATACAGGGCGGCCATGATGTCGTTTTCGAAAGAGATAAAAGTCAGTACATTGGCAAATATCCGAGATCATATCATTGTGCCGAATTACTCTATAGTTTTCTATTACTACAGCGCAGATGCTGTCATTCGCCTGTGTTCGCGCGTAGATCCACGTCATAGGTTGAATAGATAACCATCTTCTCCCGAGTTTCACGAACATTTTCGATGGTATGAGAAACTACACTTCCACAACAATTCTTCCAACTCCTCGACTCACGCATGAAAGCATGTGGTCTTTCTGCTCTCCCGGCTCCAGTGCGCTGCCTCTGTGTTCAACCTGGCCTTCCTTGAGGGTAATCTTGCAAGTACCACAGTTGCCGACCTCGCAGCTCGAGGGGACATCTGGAAATTCACGACGAAGCGCTTCCAGCAAACTCTCGTCCTCGCTGACCTTTATCTTTCTGTCCCCCTTGTTCGCCACGACAGCCTCGAATGGATCACCAGAGACATCGGCGGTAAATGCTTCGTAGTGGACTTCGTCGTGTGAAAGGCCATTGGCCTCGACAGCTGTCTTGGCCGCCTCCATCATCCTGGGCGGGCCGCAAACGTACAGCTTGCTGTTCCACGGCAGACTGCTGACAATTTTCGGAATGTCCATGCGCTCGCCTTTGGATTTATCGTATACCTTGACTCTATCGCGGAACAGTTCCAGCCTGTCCAAAAACGCAGCTTCTTCGGCCGTGCGAACCGCGTAGTGCAGCTCAAGACTATAGTTCATCTGGTGCACGCTCTTCATGATAGCCACGAATGCGGTAATTCCGATGCCTCCGACAATATACACGTGATTGCTAGCCATCGCACCGTGCTTGACGTCTGTTGTTATGCGGCCAACTTCAATTGCATCACCCACCTTGACGTTTTCGTGTATATATTTGGACCCGCCGCGGGTATTTTCATCCAGAGAAATGCCGAGTTCAAACTTGTTACCGATGCCGACTCCTGCCTCATCCCCAGAGACGATCGAGTATGTTCGTGTCAAGCCATTACCCAGTCTCAGCCTGGCATGGGCCCCGAGAAGCGATTTGGGTAGCTCCTCATCTAATTCCTCTGCTTCGAGCTGCAAAGAAATAATCCGTGGTGTTTCTTGCTTGCGTTGGACGACTCTGAAATTTCGCCACACTTCCTCAACTTTGGGCTCCGCCCTGCGAAGGGCCTTGGCCACACGGTTTTGAAACATACCACGGCTCTCATTGCCCAGAGCTTCGATGGCAGCGAGCTTCTCGTTCATCGCGTGATTATTCGTATCACGGTGAAGATACTCCTGTATCCTTTCAATCGTCCAATCTGGCCAATTACGCTCAACAAGGCGTACTTCATCGCCGGCAGACACTGTGCCCTCGCGCACGACTCTGTAGTACCATCCGGTGCGGCTCGTTTTGTATGTCAATGGCGCAAAATTCTTCAGTGAGAAGCGATGATTCAGCTTATAGCAGGGCTGTCGTGGCAAAGAAACTTCAAGCTGTAATGTGTCGCCAAACTGAATAATGTCGCCAATACAAACGTTTCGCTCATTCATGTGTGCTGTCACAAAATTCTCACCAAAGCCGCCCGGAACGAATTTGTCAGAGCGCTCCGGATAGCTTTTTCTCCAGTCCGGGTAATGGGTAGAGCAATCTGCCGTTTTCGTGTAAGCCGCTGGAAGCGAAATGATTCGGCGCGAACGGCTGCCCCGTCAAGACTTACAACCCAAGATGGCCTTGTCCGGGCCTCCATGAAATGTCAAATCATGCCAGTCCCCTTCAATTCCTAGCTTTCCAACTTTGACAGGGCAGTGGAGGATCTGCTTGTCAATTCCGGACATGGCATTGATTCCGGGCAGCTTCTTCTTGCCAGAGGAGCGAATCTCCAGAAGCTTGTCGGTTTGGAAGGGCGAAGCCCAGTCTACATCGGGGCTTAGCATTCTGAATCCCAAAAAGTAAGGGAATGACTCGGACGCAGTAATTAAGCAATGGGCATTGGATCAAAAAGTGTGCGAGAGAAGAGTGTACTAGGATCGAGCCGGGCTGCCTTATACGGCGGCCGGCCCAATAAGAACCGTGTATTTATAATGTTTGTCTGCACAGTGCGGGCGTTCGATTTTGTTCATGCTGGTGCCAATCGCACACTGTCCACTGTCAGAAAGATCACGCCGAACTTCCGGTCTAATTCATAGTCCACAGTAATGGTCGCGGTAGTAGGACGCAACTAACTACAGAGAGTAAAGCGGAAAGCATCAGATTTCTGCTAGTTAGTCGGAGAGCAGTTGTTAGCCTCGGCTTCCCTCGCCCACCGCGTCCACTTCGCGATCACGGGCGCCACTGTCGAATCAGGAAAGTTGAAGTTGTACTAATAGAAAGTATGTTTCTCTTATCATTTACGGCATATTATCCTACGCCAAACTACATCTTCTTTAGCACCGGGTACCTCGCCATCTATCAAGCTCACTCATTAGCAGTCGTAACCTCCCCCGCACGGTGATGCGCTTACAACCAGTTGGGTGTGCAATGCAACGAGGCCCAACATGCGACGCGCATTACCCCCGCTCACGATGTCTGAACATAATTTCCTGTACAGTTATTAGCTATTGCCGGGCTTGATGCGCAATTCTGCATACCGGGAAATTGGCCCTGCCTGCCGCGCAATTTGCCTGTCCACCACTCGTTCTCGTTTTGTGTTCTTTGCACAATCTCAATGACATCACCAGCCGAGAAGCTGAGATCACCGTCTGCCTGAGCAGCGAAATCGTACAGTGCAGTGACTGTTTCAGCCTGCTTTGCGCCCGCCAGGTGGCTGGGCTTCGGCTTTGGTGGCGGTGGTTTCGACTTGGCAGCCGCGACCAAGGCCATACTCGAGTTTCCGGCACTATACGGAGGCGGAGCGGATGACTTCTCGGGTATTGTAGAGGTCGGTCGTTGGTAACCGCCTAGTTTCGGGCTAGGCTTCGAGGCTGGGCTAGACGGGCCGTTGCCGTAAGTCAAAAGCGCAGGCTGTTTGCTCCCTTCCAGAGCCGGTCTAGGTTGGTACTTGGGCGGGCGTCGCTGACCGGTCGTCTTGAATCGAACGATTGAGAGAGCCTCCACTTGCTCTTGAATATCGCCGCGTTTCTCGTGGAAGGCCTCCTCTATGTCTCTAGTCAAATCAAAGTATCCAATATCGCAGCGCTGCATTCGCTCGTGGAGGGTGTAGAAAATGTTGAGTTGCATGTAGTAGAACGACTGAAACAGCGGCTGGATGAATTCGGCTTCAAGATGAAACAGCTTGGGCAGTTCATCCTTCAACAATGAGTTGAAGTACTCAAAGTCTTGCGTGGCCTGCTCTACATCCCCCTCAGCCTTCCACATAGCCTTTTCATCCTTGGCAGAGCGCTCCTTCTTGTCTTGCAGCTTCTTGAGAGCCGCGCGGTGACGGTCGTAGTCGAGTTGCTTGTGGTCGCGCTTCTGGGCCGTCTTTCGAATAACTTTGATGATATCTAGCAGCTCGGTAGCTGGCCTGATAACCCTAGTTTCAATCATATCCAGCTCCGGCGCGAGAGTTTCTTGTAGCTCCTTTACAATGGACTCGTACTCCTCACAGGCCTCGATACCTTCGGGGTTTCCTTCAATTTTCATCGAGTTTGGATCAGACATGCGACCGGAGATTGGTTTGTAGATTTCCGTCATGGCTTTGCTGAACCCAATTTGGTGGTTCAGCATGCCATTGATGGCGTTGAAGTACTTCTGCGACTCCATTTGCAGCTTCTTGGTCTCGGTCTCGAGTTCTTGGAATCGACGCTCGGCATCCATGTAAACGGCATCTTTTGTGTGCTCGCCGATGTTGAATTTAGCCTTGAATTGTTGCGGTGCCTGGTGTGTGGTGCATTAGCTGCTGGCCGCGATGCCGTCGAAATCTGCGCGTAGAGGGGCAGCACGTTGCGTCACAGGAGGGGTTGCTTACTCGGACCATGCTCTTGGAAAAGCCTTTGAAACTCATTGTGACGGTTCGCCGGCGCAAGGGCTCTCGAGGATATGTGCTTTACGTAGTGGAAGTCGTCGTCACAGGCGACTGTGCTGCCGCAAGTGGTTGGAGCGGTTGTGGAAAGCTGATGCGAGCGGGATACATAGAGCGGCGAAAGCAGGCAAGCAGGATCAGTGACGACAGTGCCGTGGCTGTGCTGGGCTGCGTGGCGCAGAGTCGGCTCAGAGGCTCCGTAGGTACCTAAGGTACGTCAGCCGGCGTAACATTGGTACTGTAAGGCTAAATATCGCAGGTAAGTGGCTTGACGTCTATGACTTTGTCTTCAAAGAATTCGTCTCTGTGAAAGCCAAAATTTTCCATCAGCCTTGTGCCATTCATATATCGAGATTTACATCCATGCTGCTCCAGTGCTGTACATAAGTCCATCCATGTAATTAGATACTTGGTATTTAGAAGCTCCACGCCCAATCAGTCGGGGAGGTTTGTCCGGCCCGGCCAATCAGCAGATAGATATTGCGGCCCACTTATCCCCGAACCCGAGCCGAAGCTGACCTAACAATTTCTTGAGATTTGCCATCCTCAATAAATGTTGTGTGCCAGCGCTATCTCCGCTTCTTCATCTTCGCCACGAACATCCATCAGTCAATCGCCACATCAAAATGGCTAGTCTTTCATCGTCTGCGATGCGCTCAGCAGCCCGCCTCAGCCGCAACTCAGCAGTTGGCGTGCCTCTCAAAGGCATCGCTCGGGCGGCTACAGTTATCGGTGGCGCTAGGAGGCGAACATATGTTACCGGCTCGAAGCCCAACAACGCTCAAGTTGAGACAGCCATCAAGCTCGACAAGAAGGATTTCGCTGGCATTACTCCCTCAATGATGCAGAATGGCAGCGAGATGAAAATTAGCCCAATGGCAGGTACGTGTCAGCATGCGCGCAGAATCCCCTCAACTAGTCAAAACGCTAACGTGAAGGCGCAGAGGTCCTCAAGGACGCTGCCATCATGGAGGAGGGCCAAAGGCCCATCTATCTCGATATGCAAGCGACAACACCCGTTGATCCCAGAGTTCTCGATGCCATGATTCCGTATTATGTCGGCGTCTACGGCAACCCGCACTCTCGGACACATGCCTACGGCTGGGAGAGTGAGAAGGCCGTTGAGGAGGCTCGTGAACATATCGCCAACCTCATCGGCGCCGACCCCAAGGAGATCATCTTCACCAGCGGTGCGACGGAGAGTAACAATATGAGCATTAAAGGCGTCGCCCGCTTCTTCGGGCGCTCGGGCAAGAAGAAACATATCATCACTACACAGACTGAGCACAAGTGTGTACTCGACAGCTGCAGGCATCTTCAGGATGAGGGCTTCGAAATTACATATCTGCCAGTCCAAAATAACGGGTTGGTCAACATGGATGAGCTCAAGGCGGCCATCCGTCCCGAGACGGCCCTTGTCAGCATCATGGCTGTCAACAACGAGATTGGCGTCATTCAGCCCATCGAACAGATTGGCAAGCTGTGCCGCGCAAACAAAATATTTTTCCACACCGATGCCGCGCAGGCTGTCGGCAAGATTCCCCTTGATGTTAACGCCATGAACATTGACTTGATGTCAATCTCCTCACATAAGATTTACGGCCCCAAGGGTATTGGCGCCTGCTACGTCCGTCGCCGTCCGCGTGTCCGTTTGGACCCTCTCATCACCGGTGGTGGGCAGGAGCGAGGTCTCCGCAGCGGTACTTTGGCACCTCCGCTGGTTGCTGGCTTCGGCGAGGCTTGCCGCATCGCCAAAGAAGAGATGCCGGTACGTGAATTTCTTACTTGTTTTTTACCTCGGATTTCGTGATGAGTTGCTCTACATGCATGGCTTTCTGAATGGCCTGTGACAAGGCCATTCTGTGTTGATTGAAGCGTTTGTCTGACTTTTACAAACACTCCACATTGTTTTGAGAATTATGCTCTCGGCCGCAGCTGCTAACTCGACGAATAGTACGACTCTAGGCGCATCAAGGCCATGTCTGATCGCTTACTCAAGGGACTCCTGGCTATGGAGCATACCACGCAAAATGGCGACCCCAACGCCTTCTACCCTGGCTGCGTCAACGTGTCCTTTGCCTACGTCGAAGGTGAATCACTTTTGATGGCGCTTAAGGATATCGCTCTGTCATCGGGTAGCGCATGCACTTCGGCTTCTCTGGAGCCCAGCTATGTTCTCCGTGCTCTCGGAAACAGCGACGAGAGCGCCCACAGCAGTATTCGCTTCGGTATTGGCCGTTTCACTACCGAGGCTGAGATTGATTATGTGCTCAAGGCGGTTGAGGAGCGTGTCACATTCCTACGCGAGCTAAGCCCGCTGTGGGAGCTGGTGCAAGAGGGCATCGATCTCGACACGATTCAATGGAGCCAACATTAAGAGACGGGATCGATGGGGGAAATGCATGGTTTACGATAAGATCGGGTTGCCACGGGAATGGCAGAAACACGGATCGAATTCGTGTGTGTAAAAGCATTGTACAATAATGATACCTCTTGTAATCAACTTCCAGGAAGGCATGTAGCCACGAATACATCAAGATTGCCTATGTCAAGATGCCGGCAGAGCAAATCGAGAAGGCCAAATTGGCCCATTGAAACCGCGAACCGAACTTCTAGTCCAGCAGAAGATACAGAAGTTACAATTGAGGATCGGGGATCCACGATGAGAAAAAGATTGCCGGCGCGCATGTACTTACTGTAGCTTTACACCCCGCACCGATGCCTCGGCAGTGACGGCTGATCGCCGCCGTAGCTGAAACACACTCAGTTCATTTTCAATTAAACTCAGCATTTTGGAGCCTTCTGAGGACCTCGGGGATTCCATAAGTACCACCCGCTAGATTATTGCCACTGAGTAGGCGAGATGTAATCCATAATAACCTTAAACCTTTGTCTTTTCTAATTCTAAAATTGCTTCCACTTTGAACCGTTTTCCCCGTCTTATGAGCGGTCTGCACCATGGCGACTCCCTCTAAACTGCCCACATATGCGGACCAGCAGGCCTGGAAGGATATTCAGGAATTTCTGCCTGCGCGCCTGCGCTTCACACCCGAGCACTCACCCGTCGAGGAGTTTTGGTCTCACCGCGGCCATGATATTCACCTGGACCGGTGGCGCAACCCGTCGGCCAAGGTGCGCGTGGTGCTGCACCACGGCGTGGGCACCAACGGCCGGCAAATGTCCATGATTCTGGGCGTGCCGCTGCACGCAGCCGGCTACGAGCTGGTGGCGGTGGACATGCCCGGGTACGGCTGCACGCGCGTGTCGGCGCGGAGCAAGCCGTGCCCGTACGACGAGTGGGTGCAGATTGCGAGCGACTTTGTCGACGAGGAGCTCGCGCGCGACCCGCGGCCGGTCGTGCTGTACGGCCTCTCGGCGGGCGGCATGCTGACGTATCACGCGGCGGCGCGCAACAACAAGGTGGCGGGCATCGTCGGCATGACGTTTCTCGATCAGCGCATCCAGCAAGTCGCCGACGAGACGGCGCTCAACGTCGTCATGGCGCGGGCCGGCCTGCCGCTCGCGAGACTCGCCAACGCGGCGGGCCTGGCGTCGCTCAGGATGCCCATGGCGTGGGCGAGCAAGATGCACACGCTGGTCAATGATTCCCGCGCGCTCAGGGTGTTTCTCAAGGACAAGACGTCAGCTGGGTCGGCGGCGTCGATGCGGTTCCTGACCACCTACGCGCGCTACACGCCGGCGCTCGAGTATGAGGACTTTGACGTGTGTCCGATTCTGCTGACCCAGCCGGCAGAGGACAGGTGGACGCCGCTGCACCTCAGCAAGCTGGTCCTCGACAGGGTCGGCAAAGTGCCCGTCAAGATTGTCGAGCTGGAGGGCGCGGGGCACTACCCGCTGGAGGATAAGGGTCTACAGCAGCTGGCGGACGCTATTTTGGAATTTCTGGGCTCCTTGGCTTAATGGGGAGGATTTTTGTCTTGGAAACGGGCTGTTTTGGCGTATTCTTTGAATTTTGCTGATACCTACGCTTACCTCTATCGCCATTTTTCTTTTCTTTGACTGATTTCTCGACTTTATCCTAATGAGACTGATATCCCAATTGCAGTGTCTGCATCATATAGCCCCTTATGATCCGCTCAAATGCCAGCCATATTTAATGTTGGTATGCACTCGCTGGAACCAGATTGACCATTAAATAGCAAGTAGGTACTGTCGAGGTGCAAATACGACACCGTTTGATAGCTCGGAGGTATGCACGAATTATAACGAAGTTTTTGGTCGCGGCGAGCTTGCAGTGAGTGATTGCTTGCCCGGCGTGCAGCGATACTAGTGGATTCCAGAGGCCACTGCTTCAACGCACACCAATGCACCAGCCACACGTCAATGGAGAAGCGTTGATTTGACGCGTGTCGGCGTAGTCACTTGAATGATATTAGTCGAGCATTCCTTGGTTTGGGGTGCATCAGCGACCTTGCTGGTGGCTCGGGATGTGGCAGCCACAGCCAAGTGAGCCCCACCAACGACATGCAGTGTGGCACCCGCTTGCCTCAAGGAGCAGCTATGACATCACCACTACGAAACTTGCGCCACATCATGGTTGAGCAACACAATGGGAAAGTGCCAATGGAAGTCAGAAAGCGTTTGGAAGGGTTGCCGCACATGCCAGATGAGGGTCTCATGAGCTAGTGTTTTTTTTTTTCTCAGGGAAAGAGGGGTATCGTGAAACTGGGTCGAACATGAACAGAGTATAAAGCTGTCTCTTCCCTCTTCTTCCCACACATACAGCTCTCTTTCTTGCCATCATACCACTCTTCAACTTCTCTGCTCCCAAAGCTGCTAGCATCACTCTGCTTTCATTACTCTACTTCAATCAAAAACAAAGAACAACACCGCCATCATGTCTGACAATACCAACGATAAGCAGGCCCCCTCCACTCTCCAGTCCTACGTCAACTCTGCCACGGGTGCAGTTCAGAGCGCTATTGGCAATTTGACGGGTAACAACACCCAGCAGGCTGAGGGTCAGGTCGCTCAGGACCAGGCAAAGATTGAGCACGAGCAGTCCAAGGCCGGCGTCAAGGCTGCCGGCGTCAGCGTCTCGAGCGATGGCGGCATCGCTAAGGACAATGCCGACCGATCTGCTGGTTCCTGGAACCAGACCATTGGTTCCGCCAAGGAGGCCCTTGGTGGTCTCGTCGGCCACGAGGTATGCTCTTCCACTTAATTCTTGATAATGGCAAACATCACATACTAACGACGAATCTAGGGTTTGAAGAATGCCGGTCGTGAGCAGAATCTCGAGGGACAGCAGCAGGAGGCCAAGGGCCAGCTCAGCGATCTGACTGGCGGTGTCTCTGATCGTGCCAAGGGCGTGATGGGTGGTGCCGTGGCCAGTGCTATGGGCGATGAGTCGGGCAAGGCTCACTATGACCAGATGCGTGCCGACGGCAAGGCTGCCCAGCGTGGTGTTGAGGCTGATCTCGAGAAGAAGGCCGAGGCCGAGCGCGCTCAGAAGAACGAGGAGTAGAGCAGTATCCACAGCTCGCTGATGGGCCAGATTTATACCCTTCTGATACCTGAAAACTTTATGTGTAACGATAGAATAGCTCAATACCCTTAATACATCTCTAGTTCAATCACTTGCTTCTTCGAAAAGGGCATGAGAAGCTGTTCCCTACACCATGATGCTCCGGGATGCGAGGTGCAGTAAAAAGGCTGTATTCTGGAGTATGATTCATTATCGAAAGTCATTAAAGTATAGTCTCGAGGTCTTTCCATCTCATTCCGCATATTTTCCAATCAGCAAGGGCAAGGGAAAATGCAGCAGTTGATGGGGATCGGGCAAGGAATGATGAAGCAGAACCGGCCAGGGCACATCTCCCCCTGACCTCCTCGTAGCCCGAGCTCGGGATCGGTATTCTCGTTGTCGACGTGGGGTTGTTGGGGATCTGAAATGTGCCAATTAGTATTGTCATCCATCAATGTGCGTGTCTTGCCGCCTTTATGCCGCGCGACGCTTGCGCAAACATACCCATGGCTTGGTGACGGGTTGGCTGGCTGGTGAGCATGGCGGGCTCGGGGCGCGCCATTTCGACGCCGTTTTCGGTACTTGATGTGCCAGTCATGTTGCTCTGTGTGAATATGGGAAGAAGACGGTACTGTGAATGCAATTGCAAGCTTGAAAACTACAAGGAACGTGTAAGGGGAGAAAAAGCGTCTAGGGGGGGGGAGGGCGCTGCGCCACAGAAAGCCATCATCATTGGAGTGACGCTGGACTTGATCCAAGCCCCGCCGTGCGTTGACGCTGGTGGCATGTAGGGACCACTTTTTTCACAGAGCTTTTACACGTTTCGTATAAAGTCATACGGAGCGGTTTTGTCTGCCATCTTGAAAAAGAAAATGCGTATTATAGCTTGGGACAAAAGAAAGCTGTTGATGGTGGCTAATATTATGAAACTATATGAATAATACTGTCAAATACTCGAGTAAGCAGGAATGGTCATTTTATACACGTGGACGAGGCGAAGGCTGTCTGCGCTATTGTTTTTTATTCGACAGTCGATAAGAAAAATCTAGATGTATCAATTTCGATGAATAGAAGTCTAGTGATTTCCTTTTCATTCTCGCTGGTGATGAACCTACAACAGCCGTTGCGGTTTTCTCCGCATTTCACTCATCGAGATCAATGGGCGTCGAAACTTGCTTGTGGAGAGCTCGGCATTAACACACCACAACCCGAAACAAGATCGTCGTGCTTGTCTCAAACCTTGTAACTTGATCAGATGAGGCCGCCAATCCTTGGCATTTCCAGCTGATTTGGGGTCCTTAGTTGTACTCGTCCTGCAGAGCCGAGGTTGACATAACCAAGGGACGCCCGCGTCCTGCAACTTTGCAGAGGCGCGCGGCGCAGCGCCGGTGCCCGGCAGCTCGTTCCCGTTCCGACCAGTATCCCTCTCCCAGATGAGACTGTTTTGCATGCAACGGTTGCAAACACACGGCCAATAGAAAGAAAAGGAGGGGGGAATGGACGGAAACCGGCTTGGACGCAATTGTCCGACGGGCAAGCAATAAACACCACCTTGCCGTCCGGGGGCGCTAAATGGCTCGACGTGACACGCGGATGCTCCCTGCAGCGATCCTCTCATCAACAGATATAGCGTGTATTCCTACGAGGGTAAAGCTGGCTTGACAAGCCGATGGATACTACGGCAGTTTTAACAGAAAAAAATTGATTAATTGCGCCAAGCAATGCAGTAAGCAGGGGGTATCATTACCAACGTCCGATTTCTCGCAAACAAATGCCCATCTTTATCTTGTCACCACCACAATAGCCCTTACGTCTCCTGCCGCTCGCAGCCCTCCTCATCTGCGCCATCTCCTTGTCTTTCGACATCTTGACGTCGTTCCACGTCTCGCCGTTCTTCGCCATCTCGCCGCCCAACCCCGTCTGCGGCGTTGTCCCCCCCTCGGCTCGACAGCGCGGCCACGAGGCGCGCCCACAAGTCTTTACGCGGCTCGATACTTATCCTTGTGCCGTGGATGACGAGCCGCGTTGGCCGCTGTGGGACGATGCGCGGGTCCTGCAGCTCGTCAAGGAGCGCCGCCGGAATGTCCGCGTCGAATAGATATATATCCTGCCTGAACGCCGAGTTAGTGACGAATAGAGATGCCTAGATTACTATTAGCACAGTACTTCGTCAGCGCTCCGGTGGGAGACATACTCGGAACGCGGTGCAACGGCGCCCGCGCTTGCTGTGGTATTGGTGCTGTGCCATGGAAAGGAGTATAAATAGTATATACGGATCCTCCGTCCACACCCTCGGCGTGATACGCTTCAGTCGCTCAGAGTAGCTGCAACGGCGCTGTCTTGGACGTGGACCGCATATAACGGCTTTCTCCCGCGCCCCGGAGATCATGCGGTAGTCGATGCATCCTGTCATGGGCAGTAGGCCACCGCGGGCAAGATGCTGCTTCTCCACCGGGAGGAAAAAGCTGAGCGACGCCCGGCCAATGACGCGTTTGCCGATACACAACGGCGGTTCTCTAGCCCCGTAGACTGCGGTCAGCTTCTCATCCATGGGCTGCCAGTCGGGGCCGGGCTTACCTGCAATGTCGATAGAGCTTGCCGTCGGCCAGTATGCCCTGCATAGCCAAGCGCTTCATCATTGGTGAGTCATACTTCTGCAGAACCAATGCTTCCCTTTCCACGACGACAGCGTGGTCTGAGCTATCGTCAGCGCCGGCAGCCTCGCAGGACTGCGGATCGAAGGCATGGATGGCGCTGAACTGGCAGCCAAAGAGTTGCAGATCTTCGGATGACCAAAGACCTGGGCGTAATATGGTTTCGCGGCGCGACCAGAAACGCATATTGAGTGACTGTGAACCCGCATCCATGGCGACGACAACGATCTTATTTACGGAATGGAAATCGAGATGCTGAGAAGAAGAATGATCGTGCAGGCAACAGTGTAAAGGGTTATGTTTTCTAGGTACCCCTAGGCACCTCTAGGCACCAGTTAGCCGCTTTTCTGGGTACCTACCCTGAGGCACCTCTAGGCACCACCTACCTACCTACCTAGGTAGGTAGTTAGTTGCTTGGTTGGGTTCTGGTGGACTATCTAGGTAGTGGATGCACCTCAACTGAGGGTACCTCAGCCAGTTGAGCTAAGGGAGGGCACCCTCAGCTAAGGTGCCCCCCACTTTAAGAATTAGTATAGAGTACTTATATAGTAAAGTAGTCTTTTTTTATCTAATATTATAAAAAATATTAGGTATAAATAAGTTATTAATTACTTATAATATATATTAAGGTATCTTTACTACTTTATAAATTAGTTATAAATTAGTTATATATAAGTTAAATCTAATATATTTATTTTTAGTAATAAATTCTAAACTAATTATAAAGTAATTTTTATCTTTTATTATTACCTATTACTAATATATAATCTTTTATTATATAACTAGTTAATAATTATTTTATAACTACTTAGAAAGTAATTTTTTTTTTATATCTAGCCTAAATAATATATATATTATAGAATAAAGCCAAGTGCGTCGGTTTTGGCCACCGAATCTGGTGGTAAACGTCGCCGCCTTTGGTGGGGGAAACCGGTGAGGCAGCTGCCATTTTTGGTGGTTGTGGAGCCACACCCTTTATCCTTCGTTACGTGCACACCCTGCCTGCCTGGCCCTGCCTGCTCTCTCTCACATAAAAGAAGACGCCTGGCCCTTCACTCTCCGACAACTTTCCTTTCTTTGTGCTCTTCAGCCATGGTAATCCACCGCGACATTGCAGAGGCCCTTCAGAGGGCCGCGAAGCGGCGTCACCGAGACACTGCGCTGCGCAAGGAAGCACAGAAGAATGCGCTGGTGGCCGAGGACTACCATACCCTACAGAGGCAGTTGAACAGCACCCAGTTCATCCAGCCGCTCGATGCAGCCACGACCAAGTCGAACATTTACTATATCAAGAAAAGATTCATTAGGTGAGTCGCTAGCCATCGTGCTATGTCTGCCAAAAGTATCTATGCTGATTGTGTAAGATTTTGCCATGCGAACAAACACGGCGACTGGCGCAAGGCGCTGCGACCGCAGCACTGCGACAAAGGCTTCATCATGACCTTCCTTCACTGGATATGCGAAACATACCTGCAACCGAGACGCAAGAGGTCGAAGAAGAAGAGCGTCAATCAGTACTGGCGCGATTTCAAAATGCTCTACCGCCGTTGTAACGACGGCAAGATTGTCAACCCAAACCATTGCGAGGAAATCAGAAAGGTACGTGACCTCGAGCCTGACCTTTCACTCCATATCATACTAATAGTCGCTAGTATATTAATGACAAACTCAAAACAAAGTTCAACCTAGATGACGAACCTGGATCTAAGCCCGTTCTGAGCGTGGACGATCTGCTTCTCGGCCTCACGCATCATTGGTCGCGCGACCGGAGTGTGTTCCCTACTGAGGATGACCGCCTGGATGTTGCAGCCATTATGCTCTTTCAGGCATACACGGCATGCCGGCCCGCGGAGCTTGTCGATGGAACGAAACGAAGAGGGACTGGAGACCCGTTGTTGGATGACTCAGGTGTGGAAGATACGTCGAGCAGCAAGGCTGCGGAGAATTGCGCAGTGCGAGGTGGCAGGCGGCAACAACGCAAATCGGCCTCCGCCACCGGCAGAATGAGCCGGCAGCGAAACTCAACCCGCAGATCAGGCCCTGCGTCCGAGTCTGACTCTGATTCCGATGATTTTACTCTTGACAGCGGGGACGAAAGCGACGACGGGGAAATCGACACCCACCAGGACGATACGAGCGACACGGAGTACAGCGATGATGGTGAAGAAGACATCGACATGCTTCAGACAGAACCAAAGCCTGACCAGCTAGCTGGCAATGCTAAGCAGGACGAGGATCAAGAGGCGATTCGGCTGCATAAAGCATTATGCTATGAAGACATCGTCCTCTGGGTCGTCAGGGACCCGAATGGTGGGGGCCGCGACGTACTGGCCATGGAGGTGTTCTTTCGCCACCATAAAGGCGCAGAGAAGAAGCCCAAACCGTGCGTATTCCGCGTTATTCATGATTGAAAATTGGGTTGCTAAACAACTGAACAGGACTATTTTTCTATTTCGCGAGAACCCGCTACCCATTCTCTGCCCTATCAGCCATATCTTGGCACGGGCGATTCGCGACGACGCAGTGGACGTCGGCGGCTTCTCTCACGCGGCACCCTTTTTTTCAACGAAGATTGGGAAGCCGGCCACGAAAGTGTACTGGAAGACATCGATGCTAAAGACTCCTGTTTTCCGACGATCGGTACGAACCACGGCCGGGAGCTGGGAGAAGTCTACATCGAACCCCATGAAGTACTCCGCCTACGCGTTCTACCTTGACAGAATCGGATCGGATTTGGGTTCTGAGGACAAATGGACGTCGTACTGC